GTTTTAAAAGAGTTAGAACTTTTTGGTATTTTCATATTTTTAAGCTTGTATCGAGGTAGATTTCTTTATAAACATACTCCCCTCGCCCAACAATAATGTTCCCATTTTACTATTCACATGGTCCAACTTTATTTACTTTATTGTTGACATATTTTTGTTATCCATTTGATAAAATAATATAATCATGTTACTTTTAGTTTTGTAGATCTTTTTGTGTAGTTTTTGAATATGTAATTTTTATTTTTTAATTCTATGCATTTTTTTATATAAAATGATTTGAAAATAACTTTAGTTAAACATTGTAATATGCAACACAACGAAAACATTATTGTTGAACGGATGGAGTATATCTATTCCGGTGCGGTGGAGTAAACATTTTAAAATAATGGGAGCTACAATATCATTTATTGAATTTTAATATAGTAAGTACGAGGAATGAGAGAATTTTTCTCCCTAGGCTCTGCGGCTAGGGTTTTCTCCCCAATCTCAGACGGGGCTGTCCACATTTTTTTTTCCAATCTTCTTCTCAATTCTTTCTTCTAAACTGAGTGGATCTATCATCTATGGAGAGAATTCAACGGGAAATGGCTTCAATTGCCTTGTATGAGGAGGAGAATGATGTTTTGTCCTTCTTATCCGAAGGGGGTACTACCGACCTAGAAGATGAATCTCGGACATGGACCTTAGCAGGACGTCTCTTACCGGAGAAACCAGTGAAGTTTGAAGTTTTTCAGAGGGTAATGGCGGCGGCTTGGAAACCTGCGATGGGGGTCCAAATCGAACAGGGAGGCGAGGGAGTTTTCCTTTTTCATTTCTTCCATGAAAAAGATATTGAGCGGATAATCGAGGAAGGGCCGTGGTCTTTCGACAATTGTACGCTGGTCTGCAAACGAGTGGAAGCAGGGGAGAATATTCTGGCAAAGGATCTGAACTTAGTGGAGATGTGAGTACAGGTACATGACCTCCCGCTTGGATACACTTCTCTGGCTATTTTGGAAATGGTGGGTAAGTCCTTGGGCAGTTTTATTAAACTGGATTCTGCTAATGTGAACCGAGCTTTCAAGGGTTTTTACAGGATAAGGGTTGCTCTTAATGTTTTTAAACCTTTGAAACGAAGACTGAAACTAATAAAACGAGATGGGACGCCTACTTGGGTGAACTTTAAGTATGAGCGCCTGAACATGTTTTGCTATTTTTGTGGGGTCATGGGACACCTTGCTAAGCATTGTAGAGAAGCAATACTCTCTCCGATGAAGCCAGAGCATTATCCATTTGACGATTCTTTGAAAGCGGGGAGTAGAAAGAAAGATGCTGAGTATGGGACACAATGGTTACGATGTGGTCCTCCATCCAAGGAAGAAAGGGAGAGCAACAAAGGGGTGGTGAAGATGGCAAACACTGACTTAGAGGAAGAGGGGATTGGCCTTATTACAAAACGTAAAAGGGGAGAGAACTCTACAGCGTACTCAGGAGATGATGTCATGGTGCTTTCGGATAGTTCAAAAAACGTGGTGAGGGCAGGTCCTGGACTCCAGGCCTGCCCAGAGCAATGAGTACCCTGAGTTGGAACTGCCGTGGGTTGGGCAACCGACGGACAGTTCGTGAATTAACGGAGGTTATCTCCGCAAAAAGCCCGATTTTGTTTTTTTGATGGAAACCAAAGGTGACCGGAGGTGTGCTGAGGAGCTGCGTGTGAAGGTGGGTTTTGAGGGAGTTTTTGTTGTAGATAGCATTGGACGAAGTGGGGGATTAGCTTTCTTTTGGAGAAAGACTTCTACAGCTCGTTTGCTCAGTTATTCGCAATACCATGTTGATATTGTTGTGTCAATTAGAGACTTCCCCCCTTGGCGACTTACGGGATTCTACGGGAATCCAAGAAGAGATCAGAGACAGGCTTCATGGGAGTTATTAAGATCTTTGCAGCAAAAATCTGATCTTCCATGGATTGTTGTGGGTGATTTTAATGATTTATCCTTAGCATCAGAAAAACGTGGGGGGAACCCCCACCCCCCATCATTGCTGGAGGGTTTCAACTCAGCTTTGTCGGATTGTGGTTTGTCTGATCTTGGGATGAAGGGCTACCCATTTACTTGGGAACGTGGAAGGGGATCCGACTCTTGGATTGAGGAACGTTTGGATAGAATGGTTGCCACAAGTGCATGGCGTCAACTTTTCGGTCAGGCTATAGTGTTCAACATTCTCCTACGGCAGTCAGATCATTCGGCTATTTTCCTCTCAATCCACAAGCCTCATAAGGTTGCTTGTTCTTATCGCTTCCGTTTTGAGAATGCATGGCTCAGAGATGCAGGTTGTAAGGAAGTTATTTCGG